ATGATCTCCAACTTCACTGTTCGATTTCTATTAAATCGAAAAACGATTTCAATAAATGTGACATACCTCCATTGTTGCCGACCATTTTGGTTGAATATACAGATGATCGATGTTTTTGGAAACTCTATATTCGAATATGGATATGATTTACCTTCGCCGGATTGAGAGGATGCATGCGATGAATACGGGTTTACGCCGGGAATGATTTGGAAAAGTAATAGAGGGCTTGCAATTTTAGTACCGATTCTACCCTTTTWGGATAAATAAGATTAATATTAATTATTTTTTAATTTTTAATTTCCTAAAATAAATTGATATAATCTAGGCCATTGATCGATAAAATGGACGGATGAGATTAGTTTACACGGTTCACACAAATGGTTCAAGTTTTCATTTGAACGCTCCTCTATATATATATATATATATATATGTTCATGTATATCTGTATCTCTCCATATTTTGAAAACTCTAACTAATTTCTGTATCCCTAGGTTGCAACTATGCTGAATAATCAAAATCCCTCACAAGAATAGAAGCTATCGAGATGTACGTCCTCTTCATTTCAAAACCATATTCAACCCATCACATTGCTTTATTATTTATTTATCGGATTTTTTTTAATTTAAAGAGTAATCTTGTCATTTAAATAGTTAACAGATAAGTGTGTTTATTTTTGTTTATGTGAGACCAGAGATCCAACCTAAGTCATATATTTAAGATAACTAGAAAGATACTCACATAATACAACGAAATACATTTCGATTTTATTGTTTTTTTTTTGTCTCAATCGATGTTATAATAGAATTTTATGTGGTTTTGAGAAAATGATAATGTTTTTATTTTTAAATAAAATATAAATACGAAGATATTATAAAAATTGAAAAAAATATTGATATTAGTATCAAACTAATATTTAATTTCTTTTTTTTATGTATTTCTTTAATGTATTTTTTTGGGGTTTAATAATATAATTTTTTAAAAAGATAATAATTAAGTTTTTTTTGTTAGAATTTAATTATTATCTTAATTATACTTTAGATTTTTTTATATTTAAAATATAATGTTTATCCTCTATTTGATTATGTTTATTTGCACTTAGTTATACGAATTCAAATATGGAGCTTTAATAAGTTGTACTTACGCACAAACTTACTTATAATCTTGAATTTTAAGTAATATGCATCAATAAACAGTAATTCATGCATAAAAAATAGTTTTTAAGAGTTTTTGTTAAATGTTTTATAATATAGTATAGATTAATGTTATTAATTAATGAGATAATTATTCTTATTTATTAAATCAAAATTAATACATTTTAAGGAAATTTCCTAACAATAAGGAACAAACATAATGTGATACCCAGTTACCCACTATGATACCACTGAACCCGCTGTGATATGTGATACCCAAGAACTTTAATACACTAATTTATAGTGATACTAATGTGATACTCATTGTGATATCAGTGTGCTACCATCTTAAATATGGATTGAGATCAAATATGATATGGGTTTTTATCAAACATAACCATTATGATACTCACATCAAGATTTGAAGAAAAGAAAGGGAGAAAAACAATAGCCTCAAACATAGGGTTCAAACCAGAAAAAATCCTTAAAAATGAATTTAGAAACCAAGAAAAACTCATATTTGAAACCAGATGGGGGTTTAGAAACCAGATCTATCTATACCGCTGTCATCAGCTGCTCCTATAATGTAGTTCACGTTGGTGTTTGATTTCAATACCTTTATGAATTCTTGGGTCCTTGGTCTTCGATTTCCAAACGCGAATCTTCTCGTCCCGATGGCCGGTCAAAATCTTGTTGCCGAAAATAATAGTAGCCTTTACAAGATCACTGTTGGATTTGAATGTGATAAACATCTTCATGTTTTTCCAAACGTGTATGTTCTTGCTGTCCGATTCGGCGTAGAAGAGGTCGGCGGTGGCAACAAGGGAATAAATATGGCCCTCTGTTCCCACGACAATTTCTTGGTTGACGTCTCCAAGTCCACTTGGTCCTCAATCAACCACCCACATCTCCATCACATTATCTCCTCTTTCCCCGCCGATTACCGATCTTTTTTGGATGACCCCTTTCCTGACTGTCGGTAGAAATTGAGGGAGATGGAAAGAGATAATTTTTTTTATTAGTGGTGAGAGATATAGAAAGATTTGATGAGCCTCGTATATGGAAAGATATAAACATGAGTTGTAATTTTTTTACTAAATTAATTTGATGGTTTTCTAAAACATAATAATAATTATCATAAATGATTGGTTAATATTGGAACTCACGGTTACTACAAACTAAACAGTTCTCATTTGATTAGACTCGTATATATATATATATACAAACACACACACACACATGTTCACACACTACATTAATATGCATTTGAGCAAAAAATGAGTAAATTACATGATTGGTCTCCGTGGTTTACATAAAATCACACTGTATGTCCCTAAATCAAAATAATTATGAAAAACGTCCTTATGGTTTACATCTTCACATGTCTTTGATCGTTGTGTCCTAACACCGTTAAAATCATTTGTTAAGCATGTTAACTAGAGGGGCATTATAGTCAGTTTACTATTTTTCATATTTAAAAAAAACTTTTAAGAAAACCACACGGACCAAGAATGTAATTTACTCTGTTATATATATATATATTGGGATCATATGAGACCAAGGCTTTTTCGTGAGACCCGTAAGACCAAATCTTAACCCTTGGATTAGATTTACAATCTCAATATTCATAATCACAAAATTGCCATGAGATTTCTCAATAATTACAAAATTGCCACCGTGCAATTTTAGACCATTAGATTGTTTGCTTATAAAGTTGATCAATGAATATAAATTGGTCTTACGGGTCTCAAGAAAAAATTTTGGTCTCACGTGAACCCAACCCTATATATATATCTAAAAATTGTATTCCTGTAGGTTCTATATAGTTTTTAATTTGAATTAATCTATTTCCAGATTCAGATCCATATGCAGATCTATCATCACCAGTATCAGTTAATAGCACACACGGAGATTTCTAGAGGCAATAAAGTAAGCAATGACAGACGTTAATATCCGACAAACGCCTGTCAAAACTTTAATAATAGAGATCGAACATAGAAACCGTATATTGTAACCTTATAGGCCTTTGATTTTTATGGCCTAAGTTTATAGGCTTTTTGACTTTTGTACCTTATCACTTGTATTATTAGTATCTTTATCTTATCAGACATATCTTTTGTAATCATAGATAAGCATATGAAGGTCTATAAATACCTTCATTCTCTTCATTTATAAATAAGTATATATATATATATATATATACACACACGTCAGCTCGTCCACCCCACGTCTTCATCTCCATGTCTGGTTATTGGAAGTAACCTACTGGTCTTCATCAAAACAAAACCTCATCATCTTCATCAACATCAACTCAAAAAGGACATGGATTATGTAATAAATTAAAATTACATTATTGGTCCCTGTGGTTTTCTTAAAAGTATAAATTAAAATATGAAAATATTAAAATGACTAAAATGCCCTCCGAGTTAACAAATCCTTTTAACAGTGTTGGGGCACAAGGACCAAAGACGTGTAAAAATTGTAAACCACAGGACATTTTCTATAATTATTTTGATCTAAGAACGTACAGTGTGATTTTATGTAAACCACCGGGATCAATCATGCAATTTACTCATAAAAATTATTAAAAACAACTTTCCATGGATGGTGTACAACTATTTTATGTATAAAATCTAAGAATCACTTAATTACAAATGAGGAAGCACAATGTACAACTTCTTAATACACATTTAAAACTCACCACCACCATCATGGAGTTTGACATGTGTAGAGTTTCCTTTATTCATAATAGTGTTAAATTTTACCGGTAAGCACTTACTGGATAAGTGTTTGATAAACGGCCCCTAAGCCTTTCTTCTAAAACATTAAGGAGCTGAATATGTATTCCAATTCCCCATTAAACCAAACAAATTGAGTATTATTCCATTTCAAGATTTTAATAAAAGAGGTCGATATATGTTAAAAACCCGATACAAGTTCTTACCCGATCTTAATACAAATTGTTATCAAAAACCCAAGGTTCATGCTTGAAAAGTTCTCGGCCATTCATTTGCACCAACCCTGCAGCTACGTCCGCCTCGAGTTTTCTTGATACTTCGGCTTTCTTGGTCGCTGCTTCAGCATCCTGCAAAACAAGACATTCAAACTGTTGGAGATGCTCTATAAAAGCATTATAAATACACATCGTATTGTATTTCCTGTTTTCCGCTCCACCCACGTTCGGGATAATCTGATTTTCAAACTTGTGCTCATTGATTTATAGTTTAGAACTAATATTTTCTTATGTTTTATGAATAATAACAAGATAAAGTTGGCATTTATAGAACAACATCTCAAACCATACTAGAAGCCAACTTAAAGTCATGCATGGGGGATTGACTTGTTAAGTATTAGTTCCAAAAACCAAATCTAGTAAGATCCGACACTAGCCATAAGTCCTTGCGCTAAATCTCATATCCAACCACAAGGGTGGTGGTGCACTGATGGTTTGATCTTGGGCTTCAAAGGTCAAAAGTGTCAGGAGGTCTTAGGTTCAAATCCAAGGAGGAATGAAAATCCCCTTGTGACCATGGATGTTTAAATGCGGTGACTCCAGGCTACCTGCAGGTGGTTGTTCTGGGATTAGTCGGCTCGCATAGCGGATTGGATATCTAAGTCAATAAAAAAAACTGATATCCTAGTCTTGCATCTCCGAAAACTCCCATATGAAGTCATGACTTAAGAAATATCTAAAGCCACTATGTTCGGACTCAGCTGCTCATTGCACATCCTTCTTGGCTTACCCCTCCTCCACACCCCCTCAACCATTATGCTCTTGGCTCTTCTCATTTTGTGCCGATATCTGTCTCCTATGAACATGCCCAAACCACAAACGCTTTACTCTTTCAGTTTATCCTTTTTTTTATTAACCTTGATATCCAACCCGCTATACGAGCCGACTAATCCCAGGGTGGCCACCTACTTTGCAGATAGCCCGGAGTCACTGTATTTGAACCTTCGTGGCCACAAGGGGATTTTTATTCTTCCTTGGATTTAAACCTGAGACGTCCTGGTACTTTTGACCTTTGGAGCCAAGCTCAAACCAATCAGGCACCACCTTTGTGGTTCAACTTATCCTTGATAGGACTACTCTGAACATTTCTCCAAAGTCCTCATTTGGTATACTATCAAAGATAGTTCCTGAAGAGTGCTCATTTCTGCAACTTCCAACTTCCTCTCAGGAACCTTCTTCATCGTCAACAATTCGCCATACAACAAGAAAAGCATGATGACTACCCTATAAAGTATTCCATTCATGCCCTGTGGTTGGAGTTCAATTTTAATTTGGTGTTAAGGGTTCCACCAATTAGGGTTTCTTTTTCTTATTTATTGGAGTTGTGGTTGGAGATGGTTTTAGAATCGAAGTGACCACTAAAATCCTGCAAAATTGTAATAATAATTCATACTCCTACTCAATTCTATGATACCCAACACCAGTAAACCAATCGGTAGCAAGCAAAAGAAGCGATTTTGAAATGTATCCCAGATCCCCAAATTCATAGAAAGTGTTGAAAATTGAATTTCAAAATTGGTCCTGTAAATACTATGAGAAAGATCATGAATTGATTAAAAGGACGAAGGAAGCACAAGAAAAGGTGTAATTCGCTATAATAGAAGATGAGGAGATGGACCTTTTGGGTTTTCCATAAGAGAAACTGAGCTTGAGTCAAGGGGGCGGAGGAGTTGGGACCTGATTTCTGGTTCCCATCGTCTTCTTCATGTTGCTGTTGTTCTTCTCCCATCGTATTCGCCTTGATGATTTTCTTTTGTTTCTAGGGTTCTACCAAAATCAGAACTTTTGTACCCACAGCAAAATCCAAACTTATCGTATTGTAAAAAAAAGTCGTTTTTGATTCACCAAAATATCAATCATGAAACCAAGAGTATTGAGTTGATATCATGAGAATTGAGTATTGAGGTATTGGTGAATTGTGGTTGAGTTTGAGATATCCTATATTGATAAAGAATTGAAAATTTTGAACAATATGAAGTGTATAAGAAAGATGGATTGAATGCCTTTGTGTCAAATATGAGGTTTGCCTCATAAGATTACCTTTCTTTAGATGACCTTATTTGAAATTTATAACCATGATTGAAAACCAATCAAACAAAATGGTAGAAATTATAGTGCAAAATTTATTTTATATATATATATATATATATATATATATAAGGTTTAAACGAGAACCCCTGTAATTTATGAGAATGCGAGAACAACCCAATAACCATATATTGTGATAAAAAATAAAATTAAAAGATCTTTAAAACTAAAATTGAAATTTAAAAATATTCAGAAAATATTAAAATTAAAAGAGTAATAATGGAAATGATATCATAAAACCTTTTAATAAGGTAATAATTTTATATTGATTTGTTTCATGATTTTGATTGCATTATAATTTTATTTATGTTTGTATCGTGATTTTTATTTGCATTATAACTCTTATGTATTAGATGAAGATTTAAAATGTTCATGTTCACTATGTAATTTTTACTTATGTTGAACGTTTTTTGGTTTGCAGGTTTTCGAGTTCTTTAACGTTTATATATCAAGTCTTGAAAATTTGAACTTTTCAAGTTTGGATTATGGGAATTTTTTATTATGATCTAAGGTAATGATTCTATGCAAGTTTGTTTTATAATTTAGAGTGTATTAGAATGTTATATATGTTTGTATCATGATTTTGATTGGATTATATTTTTAAGTATGTTTTTATCATAAGTTTAATCGTATTATAATTTTATGTATGTTCATGTTGTGATTTTGATTGCATTATAATTTTATCTATTGGGTTATAAAAATTTGAAGTCTTAAGTTTGGTATGTGATTTTTTACATATTGTATGGTTGGTCCATTCACTATTGTGTTTTTAAAGTCAATGTATGTGTTGAGGATGAAAAATGGTACATGTACATCATCCTTTGAAGGAGACATATCTTTATGTGGAGTATTTTTTATTCTTAAGTTTGTGTCAGATTTCTTAATATTYYCGTYGTTATTATTACTCATTTTATTTAGTTTTACAACTTTATTACTAAACAAATATCTCTCTCTCTCTCTCAATATATATATATATATATATATATATATATTAAAATTTCACTAACTATAATTTATTTAACTTTTTCGAATTATTTGAATACGATTTGTTGATGATTCTATTAACAATTAATATATATTTATATAGACAATCCTCAAATCATTAATCAAAATATTCATACTACCGCACAACACGCGGTTCTCATACTAGTTTTAGTTAAAGTAGCCCTATTTCCCTCTTAGCCCTTTCTCTATAAAAATTCTGAAAATAACCATAGTCCTCCGATCGATTTGTTTACCTCTTAATAATTTTATTAAAAAACAACATCTGAATCGTTAAGAGGTGAATCTTGTTTGACAAAAAAAAAAGTCTGTCTCTTAATGATTTTAAAACCATCTGAATGATTTGTATCATGTATCTCCCTTAACAATTAAAAACCCTAATTTCATTATACACAATTACCAAATAATTATATTTTATTTTTGCACTATATTATGAGAGTCTCTTAATCATTCTAACCAGTTAATCATTCTGCAGCAAACCATTCATCAATTGCCAAACAACCCCTTACTGTAATTTGCAGAGGGATTAAAATAAAAAAAAATAAAGTTTTTGAACCAGTTTTGTAATTATTATAGGGATCAAATATGTAAATAAGTTAATAGATCAGCAAAATATGTGACAATTGTTTTTTCAAATTTACATATTTGATCCCTATAATTGCTTACATGGTTAAGAAATATCAATTTTAGCTTATACTTTGACTTTTATGTAAATCACGGAGCTATAACTATTTTTGTAATTTTGGGAAAGAAATGACTAAAAGAGATAAAATAACTATTTTTATTAATTTCTCATTATTTTATTGGTTTATTCGATTTTCTAAAAATTACCTCCTTTATAGCTTCTTTTGTTTTTTCTCAAAAAATATAGAATTAAAATTAAAAAATTTAAAAAAAAATTAAAATAAAACTTCAAAAGATTTTGTATTCACAATACAATATACTTATCTATACTATATTATAAAATATTTGATAAAAACTCTCAAAAACTATTTTTTTATGCATTAAGTATTGTTTATTGATACATATTACTTAAAATTCAATATTACAAGTAGGGGTGTAAATGATGCGAGTCGAGCTCGAGTATCACTATGCTCGACTCGAACTCGAAACCCAATTTTCAAGCTCGAACTCGATTCAAAAACTCACGAGTAGTAAAAATAAAGCTCGACACGAGCTCAATAACTATTTTTCAAGCTCGAACTCGAATCAATGTCGAACTAAGCTCGAACTAAGTTCGAAACAAGCTCGAACCCGAATCAACCTCACCCACTGAAATTTATGAAAATTTAGGGTTTTTCTATTATAAATTTTAAAACTTAAAGCTGTTTTCTTAAATTTTATAAAACTAAAAGATCAACTTCAAACTTTATCATCAAAAAGACAAAGTTAGAAATTCCATTCACCTCTCTATCTTTTATAACATTTTTTCTTCCTTTTTTTACCATCCCTCTTTCAATGTGGGACAATTTCACTAACTTCTTATAGTTTGTGTTTGTCTTTTTTTTTTTAATTCTGATTTAAAAAAAAATAATTGATTAAGTTTTATAATTAAAAATGCATAATTTTGTTTAAATATCTAAAAACAGAAGACATTTTTATTATTTATATTTTACAAATTTTATCATAAAAAAATGATTATATTTTAAAACTAATTATATATAAAATAATCGAGTATCTCGCGAGCTTTTCGAGTCGAGTATTGGGTAGCTTGACTCGACTCGACTCGTTAATATATCAAGTCGAGTTCGAGTAGCTATTCGAGTCGAGTATTGACCGAGCTTTGACCGAGTCGATCTCGAGTAGCTCGCGAGTTGTCTTGTATCATTTACACCCCTAGTTACAAGTAATTTTGCATAAGTACAACTTATTAAAACTTTATTTTTAAATTCATGTAACTAATTGCAGATAAACATAATAAAATACAGGATAAAACACCCATTTTAAATATAGAAAATCTAAAATATAATTAAGATAATAAATGAGTTCTAACAAATGTTTAATTATTATCTTTATAAAAATTTATATTATTAAACTAAAATAAATTACTTTGTCATTAAATCTAAATTAAATTGTAATAAAAAATTGAATTAAAGAAGTTACACAAAAAAATGGGAACTATTAAATAGTTAATTTGATACTAATATCGAATTCATTTTTTTCAAATTTATATTTTATTAAAAAATAAAAAAATTATCGTTTTCTTAAAGCCACATAAAATCCTATTATATGGATAGAGGCAAGAAATAAAATCTAAACATTAAATGAAGATTTATCTCGTTGCATTGTACGAGTATCCTTCCAGTATTATATGAAACATGTGAAATAACATGACGGTATCCTTTGCTCAAAATCTTTTTTTGACGAAGAACAATCATGAGAACGCAAAAACAATTAAATCAAACAAAACCGGTTATTAAATGGATCGAAAATCTTACATTAAGTCTTAGACAAAAGAAGACAAATATAACATTATTCACATAATCTCGAAACGATTATAGTTTCATACAAAACCGCTATACCGACAAGCTTCTATGATTGACGTCGCACCTACACCATCATAGGGACCGATCCACCGGCTTGTAAGATTTGTTGCTCAAGCTGCATAAAAAAGAAAAACATAACAAGTTACGCCATTACAAACTTGATAGGCCTCTATCAGAGGCTGACAATACCCAGATATCTAGTAGAGCTCAGTTTCTTAACAATACAAGGGTTCAAACTGTACATGAATATTTGCGGTATACAGTATTATATGCATAAAAAAACATAATGGGATCCACCGGCTCCCGTTATGTTTGTAAGTACAACCGAGTCCCTAATGATTTCTACAAACAAACACAAAGTTTGTGCACAAATGACCAAAACTCGAAGTTTAGGATCAAACATGTAACGTTTTGTTTCGTCAAAGGTAGCAAACTTACATTGAACAACGCTTCGAGTTTGTTCCTTACGAGGATGTATTCGTTTTTCGCTTGTTGCAGACATACGACACACCTGTACTCATGACATCATCATCGTCAAATCACTATACCGAGCTTCCAAGCCAATCATTTCAGACCATTTTCTCAATCGATGAAATCTACAGTAAGATAAAATATTATGTACATCGACAATTATAAGAATAATTACGAACCCATCAAGGTTTTTCTCGTCACAGTAATTTCTGAAGACGACACACATATCCTTCACGCGTTGTGCACCTATGCTGTGACGACAAAAATCACGAAACGAATCAGAAAATATTGACCAACATATCAACTTTTGGCATTTCAACTGATAAGCTAATACAGAAATCACGTGATTTTGGGTGTGATACCTGGAACTACTACCCTTGAACTGGTGCACATGAGCATCTACTTGTTTATAATCGATATTCTCTTGATGACTGTTCGAAAACAATAGAAAGTTACGATTAAGGAACGTATTTCGAGAATCACACGGTCGAGCTAGAGAGATGGCTCACAGCGCAGTGGTCAAATTGTTGAGAAGCTTTTCAGAATCTTCGAAAAAAAGGGACACAACTTCCACAACAAAATCCGGGTTGCTCTCATCTTGCAGTTTCTGAAGCTGCGTAAACTGATCATCAAGATACCCCTTTTAACACACGAAAACAACAAATCAGACGGCTTTTTTCAAGATCAATCACGAAATTAAGTGGTTTTACAAATCGAAAACGATCACCAGCAAAAGAAAGAAAACAAGATTCTTTCGAGTGAAAAGACTGACCTCACGATACAAAGATGCCGTGTATTCGACAAACTGTCTTTGCAACTGAGAGACAGTATCCATGATTGCTTGCTTGTTTCAAGAACACCCTTTACTCCAGATGCCAAAATTCATGAAATTTATCGGCCTATTTTGTCGATCAACTGTAAATACATATATCCACAGGCAAGAGGGTGTTGATAACCCACCAAAAAAGACAGAACAGAATAACAAGTCAAATATCACTTGTCTTTTTCATAGAATCCTATACCTGAATTTGGTTGTTTTTTAATTCCACCATTAATGATCTGTGGGACACCTCAGACCATGCTTATTGGCTTTAATCATCTTGAAAGGTTATGTGATTCCATTCAAGATATCCTTTTGTATTATTTTATATTATCTGATGCTCTCAGTTTTCAACAAATCAACACTTCTCTCTCTAAAGTGATCTTCTTCTAGATGAATGATTATGCCATTCATAGAATTTGCTATAAAGCTACATCTGATTCATGAAAACTGTATAATGAAATGGGCATCTATCAAGAATCAATCTAAAGAACTATATGCAACCGCTCTACAATTTGCAGGAAATCAATTTGACTTTTTGTAGTCAAAACAGGGCTTCTTGAGATGCAACAAATCAATGGATTCGTTACGAAGTGGACACCAAAATTTCCCTAATCGTAATATTTACAGAAGTTAACTTATCTGGGTTATCGATTTTCTTGGAAAACTAAAAGGATTTGTTTTGAATTTTGAGGTTAAAAAGCAATATGTTTGACCTAAACGTTGAGGTCTACCACTTCTCTGGAACCTAGCGAATATAACAAAAACAGAAAAAAGATCCCCATGATAAGAGCATTTATTCCAAAATCTACCCTAATGAACCCAAAAAGACGCCATTTTTTTCCAAAGAAAGTAAAGAACCCCAGAAGATTAATCAACCCATGTTATAATTTCATGTAATAGAGTGGATACCAGATGGAATAGAGGGAGGAGAAGTCACCGGCGAGGTCTTGGAGGATTCCGGCGACGATTTTCGGTGGGAGAAAGAGGTAGAGAGTGTCTGAATGGAAGATTTGAGGCAGTACTAACCACAAACCATACAGCAGAAACAGAGAGTGGAGACAAGATTGTAGATGGTTAGGGGTATTAGGAAATGAAATAAAAGACAAAACTAAGTGGCTGTGGCTGTTTAGTTGATGTTTAATTAGACTATCTAGCTTATTCGCATAACTCATTTGAGTTATTTACTTATGATTTATTCACATAGAACATGGTTTAATTACACAGATAAAAAAAATGTGTTATCCACATTCAGCCACAAAAATGATACCCATACCCCTTATTTAAAGCACTATCACCTTCCCATAACACCGAATCTTCGGCCTCTTTATGATTTTTTTGTTTTGATGTTCAAATAATTAATATTGGAGGGTAAATCGGTCATTTATGTTATTCAAACTGTTGGTTTAGATAAAAAAAAGTAAACGACACCACCAATTTATCCAGACAATATTTATTAAAAAATTTGGTAAACAACCCCTAAGACATCCTTTCATTGGGAAACGTCTTTATAATTAACGGGAAATTGATTGAATAACATGTTTTAGTTTTTTTATATCGAATTTTCATTTTATTCAAAGTTTATATTAATTTTTTATTATGAAATCTTTAATTTAGAATTAAAAAAAATAAAGAATTCCTTACGGAACGGGGATCCTTAACCAAATTTATGTAAAGAATTTTTTTAATTAATTTAAAAATAAGTCTTACGTAAATAAGTAAGATATTTATATAAACTTTAATTAAAATAGAAATTTAATTGAAAAATAGACAAAAAATAAATTTTATTAAAAATATCCGTTATTTTGGTCAATTTACCGTAATTAATTTGCAATTTTTTTAATGTTTTAAGTATTTAAAAAATGTTTGACATGTTTTTTCTTTCTTTTTTAAAACCTTCCCAAAATATCAATGATTGTTTGTTTACCTTTTAATAGTTTCATTAAGAGACAACCTCTGAATCTTTAAGAGGTGAATCTTGTTTAGCAAATTTTTTTTTGTCTCTTAATGGTTATAAAACCCTCTGAATGATTTTGTATCATGTATCTCTCTTAACCATTAAGAGCCCTAATTTCATTGTACACAATTACCAAACAATTATGTTTCATTTTGCAATATATTTCTTAATCATTTGAATTTTCGGGCCGGGCCGGGCCCATAACCAGTCCCGGTCCCACAAAGCTACCAAAAACCTCAACCGGTCCCTGTTTTCGGTCCCATAACCGGTCCTTACTGGTCCTGGTCCTGGTCCTCCGGGCCTATTTGGCCATCTCTACTGACCACTTAATCATTCTGTACCAAACCATTCAGCAATTATCAATCAACCCATCATTCTTTCTATTTTTAAGTCTATTTCTAGAAGGAAAGAAAGGCCACAAATTGTAGGCTCTGACATATAAAGTTTCCATTTTTGAAGTCTATTTTAGGACTTGTTGGAGCTGAACATAAAAAGCTAAGCTACATTGTAACACCCCATTTTGTGGGCTATTTATAAAGCATGTAAAATAAAAAAAGACAAGTAATGCAAGTTATAATTTAGGAATTAAATTGTCATTAAATGAAAGTAAGGGGAGCTAATTGGGGTTTGAAGTATTCAAACTTCACATGGATAAATCCAATCATGGAGAAGATTTGGTCAAAAAATGGGGAGGTTTGTTTTGGACAACAACTCTCAATCTAAGCTCTATAAATAAAAGCAATAGGGTTTTGCAAGAGAAGGACTGCAAAAGGAGAAAAGAGTTTTTAAGGGTAAATCGGTCATTTGTTGAAATGAAGCGTGCGATAAGTTTATGAAATGATTGAGATGTCTACAACGATTCTTGGTCACACGAAAGAAACCTAATTTTGGTTCTTGGTTGGCCAAAATCCCAGCACAATGATTTTATAAAATCAAGTGAAATTCCGAATAAGGTGAATCTTGATTTCTGAAATCAGAGGAGACGTATCTAAAAGTTTGATTTAGATATATTGCTCTAAAAAGTACTTAAGATATTAGAAATAGTTGGATTTTGTAACATATTCAGTTATGGAAGAATTCTGTTTCGGTCCAGACGACTTGACACGTTAGGGTCCGTATGTAGGTGCTCTTGAAGGTAACATAGTTGATCCATGGTCAGTTTTAAATTACGTACTATCAGATGAATTTTCATGTGATTTTGAAGTTGGGATACATGCTTATATGAAAAGATGTTTTACGAATGATTTATTTGTTTACGATGTTTTATACAAGTGCAAGCTCAATGTGTTATTTTAGCATGAATGAAGTATTTTGAAAAGCATGATTTTTTTGGTATTTGGGTCGGTAAAGATGGCGGGAACCGCATTGATGTTCTTGATTGGTATATGTTGCGACATACCTCTATACCATGTCGATAGATGTTATCCAGTACATGTATTGTGAGGTATATTTCTGTACTTGGTGAATCGACATTATTGGTGATGTTTCCATCAGTACGTGTTGCAAAGTACCTTTATACTGAGTCAATTGATTTGAAATAGTAAATGTATGGCGAGGTATACCTCTATACATAGAGAATTCATGTTTCCGATGATGTTGACCTACATAGTACTCGATGTTTGATATGACAAGATGATTTATTTGCATGCATGTTTTTGACGACGATTTATTTGAGTCTGTAGTTTGAGCCTTCTGCTAATTACCCAGGAGACTCTTTTGCTAGAAACGCCAGCCAACTAACGCGTTGCACGGTCATCAAGATTAACCTCTTCGAATCTCTGTACCTCATGTAAGCCGCTACAGATCATATGATTATCAAGTTCAACTCTTTAAGTCTATACCTCAAGTCCTTCGTTACATCCGCAGTTTCTAGCAAGAATACAGAAAGAACAATCTCATTCTAAACCAACAACTGCTTCTATGTCTATGAATCAATTGCATTACAGTCTAAATTACACGACACTAATTGAATGATAACACACTCAAAATGTGTAATATGCAATAAATATGCAATATAGGCATTATACACTTAAAGCTCCACATTGAGGTATTAAAACCGGATAAATGTCCCCAAAACTCTTTTGAGTTAAAATCAAGCCAAAAAGGCCTCGTAAAACACTTGACTATTTCAATAAAGCCAATATAAACCACATAAGCCAAAAAGACATATTTCAAACATTCATATGTTTTTGACCAAAAAGGCTAATATGCCACTATCAAATATTAACAAGTTGGGGAAGGTCCTCAAAACATACTTGACCCAAAACCAAGTCAACAAACACTTTGATTTGTTCAACAACACCAAATAAAATCATTCTTATAACTTAAAATGCAGTTTTCATGAGTTAAGAAAATATTTTGTCTCAAATCATCCAAATACTCAATAAATCCTTTTTTATGAGATAAATATCATTCGATGTCTCAAAACAACCAATAAATCATTCTAAATATTTTCTAGGGATTTCATAACCCAAATATACCAAAGATAAAAATCTCATCAAATACTCAATACATTTGATAAATATCAAGTAAACAATATTTACGACTTCAAAATATACATTTTTGACATTTACAAAGTTTTCACAAAGCAACTTGAACTTACCTTGCTAGATTTAGGCTAAATCTAGGTTTTGCCTCACAACTTAAGCTTCCTTTGGTGAAGGCTTTAGATCCACAACCATCTATCACTAGAACCTTTATCTAAGTCACAAACAATCTAAAATACACCAAGAACAGCCCTAAAATCATATCCATAACAAAACCCTGATTATTACAAAATTCACAAAAATCTTACCTCTTTAAGAACTTGAAGATACCAAACAAAATATCTTGGAACCCTTAGGTTAGATCTCCTTCCAACCGGGTGGACTTACCCGTGCACCCTAAGGCGCCGCGTATGTGGCCTCGACCACTGTTTGTTTTTTCTTAAGCTACACCAGAAGGGCAGGACAAACAGAAGGTTATGCGGCTTTTCCTGCGACTTTAGCCACGCCCAAAGCACTGGAATTGCATAAGTTCCCATTCTATGATCCTAAACCACCAAAATATAATAGGGAAACAGGAACATTAAACCAACAACAACTTTCCATTCATACGAAATCCGATAAAATCCAATTGATTCTAACTTGAAATTAAATAAGAAAACTACGGGTGTTACACATGAACTCACAAAGTGTAAAGCTGACCCAAACATGTATCTTCGGTTTCGATAAGGCTGAGAGCTCGAAGGGAAATGAGAAGATTCAACCCATGTTTAGTTTTATTCATTTGATATTAAGTTTCTTTGGACCATATTATGTATTTTAGTACTTTTGATATTGATGTAAAGACTTCTGCTGGTAGATTTTCGATTTTAAGTTGCTTTTCAATTGAGGTATATTTTGATTGTTAAGCTGTTACAACCCTTGAAATTGGGGTGTGACAAGTTGGTATCAGAGCAATAGTTTAAGCGAACTAGGTTATATTTAGCCTAAACTTAAACTCAGGAGTGTAATATTGAAGAATGAGATGATACATTACCTAAGGTTGATCTACTTTGACGAGAGCCCAAGTTTATGTGACTTGGGCTACTAGTAGCCTAAACTCGTAAAAGTGAGATTTAAGATCGATTTTGAGCGATTAGGATGGTGGTTTAGTGAAATGAGTTTGTTAACCTATTCTTAAACCCATAAGTCAGTTGTGGAGTAATGGGATGACTTACGTTGTGTTCTCAAAACTTCTTTTGCGAAGGAAAAGGATGGAAAGCGAGAGAAATAGGAGGAAAATAAACAAAACTTGTGTTCTTGAAACTTTTATAGGAGGGAAAATAAAGGAAACAAAATGAAAGAAATCATAAGTTTCCTCCCAAAACTTTCGATCCAGATGTGAGAGGAAAATGAAGGAAAGGAAAGGAAAGAAATTAGAAACTTCAAAAAAATTATTAAAATTACAAAAGTACCCAACATTTCATAATAAAGAACATATTTTTAAAGGTTATATATGTAAAAAAAATACACTTTTCTTTTCCTTTCTCTCCTGTTCAAGAACATGAAAAATTATTTTATTTCTTTTTCTTCCCTTTCGAGAACAAAAAAATATGAT